ATATATATATATATAAGCACAACAAAGGTTAGCGCAGTGTTTAAACGTGACCTAGTTATTTAGACTTATTGTTATCGCTGAACATGTCCTTCTGTTAGCACATTAACTTACAAATGGAGCCTGAGGCTTGTAAACGAAATGCTGTCCGAACTCTGCAGAAACCCCTGGTATAAAATGAGACTTTCCCTGACTGAATGTCAACAGTTAAATGATGTTAAATTAGATACAGAGAAGTCTTGCATGTTGCACCATTTTTCATGCTTACAGCTCTTATTTAATTTTGCACTGAATTTCTTATAATAGTCTCTCTTTAGTTTTACTTAGAGTCATGTTATTATTGGATACATTGTAGTCATTAAGCCGACCATGAAATCCTCTACATACCACAGTATTCTAGAGTCAAATGCAACCCCATCTGTCTGACAGCTAAATGATCCCTAGCGCAGCAGCGAATCTACAGCAGAACAGCTGAAAAATAAAAGAAGTCCAGACCTCAACCTGCCTGAAGTGCTGCGGGAGCTGTGCACAAATGACTGTCTGCAAACCTCACTGTAAGACAGAGTAAAAGTAACTCTGCAACAATGTGAGAGACTGAAAGTCATTTTAAAAACAAGTGCTACAAGTTCTTGCAAGCTGCTAAATCATGCGGTGTACTTTCACAGGAACTGCATAACTTTCTGAGAAAACGTTTGTTTGTAAGGAACCATACATTCCTCGCTCAGCCTGTCATATAAATGGAGGTATAGCCACTCACCCAGCTGTATATTACGAAGCCACAGACTCTGGCTTGTCCCTTTGAGGATCTTCTCAAAGTAAACTCCAGCAAAACCACTGGACACACAGGCCATCAGCACAGCGATCAGGCCCACAAACTGGGAGCTTGCAGACATTACATTCTGTTCAGAGTCACCCAGAGACTCGACGGGCAACTGTGAAGGTTGAAACACTGATGAGCGTGTGCAAAGGCATAGGCTTTTATCAAAACACATGATTACACTGAGACTCCAAAAAAACCATTAGAAAGGTAGAAATGAAACATTAGTAATAATTGTGGTGACGGTGAGCGCTGTTACCTGCACCAGAGTGACCCCGGCCATGAGGAAGAGCAGGGAGAGCCACTGGTAGCTGCCTAACTTTTTCCCGAGCATGGAGACAGAGAACAAAGCTGTGGTGAGGATCTTCAACTGGTACGTGACCTGTTAGACACAAAAACACAAGTGATGCTTTAAGTAAATGATGGATTACTCCCATCCTCACTACAGCACATAAAAATTGATACAGTACTGGCTACAGTCTGAGTTACAGTAGAGTTGATCAATGTTGATTAAGTTGCTACCTATGCTCCTTCTTTTTCTTAAATAACATCCTGTTGCTTTCGATTTCTTCTCTGCCATATTTAATTTTCTTGTTATTTACACTCTTACTTTTTCATTTTGACTGTGTGCACAATTATATTTCATGCTACAGTCATATTTTCCTATCTTTTATTGTGCTCTTCAAAGCATATCGCATTTTTCAGAGTGTTACAAACACAAACTTTATTTATTTATTATTTAGCACACAATAATGGGTAGTATAGAAATGCCACAGTTACAGAAAATGCATTCATATCCAGAAATCTTCTTTCCAGCTACTTCTCGTTCTTTTGGAAGATCTACTGTATTCTAATTCTTCATCTGTACTTTGATGCCTTTCATTCAGCAGCCCACTGTGCAGGGGTCAGGACAGATCTGTTTAAAAATGGAAGAGACACGCCATTTCTAAGAATCCTCTCTGTGATAGATAAGAGGACACGTGTTTGCACTCCGGAAATAAACATTGAACTTGTTGTGCTTCATTCCTATTGGGACAGCTTCATTTGCAAGGTTTTTGTCACTGAGTTGCTGTTAAAAGGATGATCTGAAATGTTCCCAAGTGCCTCTTATTCACTTTCTTCTTCAGGTTTTTTAGCGCTCAAGGACAAATGGGTAGTATTATTAATTGGGTAATAATAGTCTCACAATTCTACTTAAAAATGTTATTGTGTTATTCATTTATGTAAAGAACTGAGTATATAAGAAAAAGGACAGAAACTGGAACTGGATGTCATGAACGTATAAATCTTGGTGTTCATTTGAAAATGGTTACTTTGTGACAAAGAAGAAAAGTGAACATGGCCTTTTTACCAGCTAGTCGTCTGTATTTTTTTTTAATTATTTTTTTAAATTAATTTTCCAAGTTCACAAAACAGTTTCAGTCAGTTTGAATTGTTTTCCAAAGTATGTTTTTTTGGTTTGTTGTTTTTTTAGATCACTAGAGAGTTTGTTCACATCCAATTATAAATGTTATTTATAAAAAATATCATTTTAGAAATGAGGGATGTGAAGCTTTAATTTAAACAAACATATTTTATATGTTTTATGATTTTTTCCAGTGTTCCAAAACTCAATAACTAGCATTTTCCTCTTTAATATTTACAGAATATAGCAGAGGGTATAGCTTTAGTACCACTTAAATTAATCAAACAAGCCTTATGAGATTAGAACAGATGACATCTGTGAGATAGATTTATGTAAATATTTATATGTACATTGTGAATGCAGAAATGTACACAATACAAACCAGCCATGTGAAACCATAAAGAAACCAGTTCACGCACACAAACTCAGTGAGCTTGAACAAGCACATTCATTCATTTGTATGTAACCTGATAGGTGGCTGCGTCCAGGTTGGACAGGGCAATATAGAGCAGATTGTTCTGCAGAGTGTAGATCCCTGCAGGAACGGCCAGCTTCACGAGCTCCACGGGCTTGTTCAGAATCTCCTTGTTCAGCAGCTCGTACATTGCCGTCAAGCTAAAATCTAAGAGAAACAGAGAGAGCGCTGTCAGTAATTTAGAAAACGAGTGCTACAAGTTTGTGCTGTTAAAGGTGGTTCTGCAACCTGCTAGATCATGTGGGGTACTTTTCAACCTATGAAGTTTATTAACTAGACTGGGGATTTTCTACCCAAGTAGGATCCAAAACAGATTTTCCTCCTTACTCACTGTTCTCACTGAAGATGAGGAGAGTGCACATAAAAATCTTGAGCACTTCAGCTGACACTACGGCAGAGGAGGCGAGGTAGCGAGGACCGTTCTCCTTCAGGGTACGGGAGTAGCGCATGGTGAGAACCAGCAGGGTGGTTTGCAGCACCAGAACCCCCAGAGCACGTATTTTAGCCTGGAGGAAAGCGCCATTGTGGAGGAATGTTCGACTCTGCAGAGAGACAGTGAAGGAGCCTTTTAGGGTGGACAGGAAGAAAATGAAAAAAAGAAGAGTGAACTGAAAGGTTCATTCAGCTTGTTCACACAAACATAAGGACTCACAGAGAGCGTCCTGACACGCTGAGCAAGGCTGCTGCAGTGTCCTTGAGCTAGAAATTGACTTCTGCCTCGAACACTTAAGAAGTTGCAGAAATGCACGAGAAAACAGTGGAAGAGACTGAGGATTAACAGGCTGTGACTGGTCCTTCACAGACACAGTCTAACAATAAAAAGTAATGGGGAACATGTCGGAAACAGCTGTCACCTTTCCTTTGTCTTGCTATTGGAAATCTGTCCTCCAGCAAGACAAGTGCAGATTTAGTGCAGGAGAGGAACGTGTCTGTCAACCATTGCTGAAACTGTTACACGACCAGCTGGAAAACCATAGCCTCCATCTACCCTGGCTAATGATATAGCTGTGCACTACTTATCCACACTCGCACCAGAATTCTAATAACATTCAATGGCAGCTGTCACAGGTGTCATTTATAAAAAAAATACAAATCATTTCTCGTCGAAACTTGTCAGAGGTTTGTGGCTTAAAGATGAAAAAGCACAGCAAATTGTAAAGTCCTCAAATTTAAATAAATAATTTAAAATTAGGAAGGATTTTATACATGAGTGAATTATACAAGTGTGAACCTTTAGCTGACAGTGATGAGACAGTTACTAACCCGTCTCCTGACTCTGGCATCTGGGGCGTCTGAAGAGAAGCAGTCCTCATTCTTTTATCTTTTATTTCCAAATTGAGGCATTGTCCACTTGCCTTCATCACAAGACTCACAGAGTCAGCTCACCTTCAAGTAGTAGGAGGAACTGCTCATTTTCTCTCAAGGTGATAGTGTGGGATCGGCTCAGGTGGACTGTTTGCACAGCACGATTATTAGTTAATCCCTGTTAACAGCGAGGTCTCTGTTTCTCCACTGTCTTCAGACAATTACGCACACCGAATCTGACTCACGCACAGTTTGCAGTTCCTTCTTGTTCTTACTGATTCATGACATCATCTCAAACAAGCGGACCTCGAGCAAAAGTAATGTCAGAGCAAACTTGTGACTCTGTTATGCTGTGAAGCATTTATATGTGCTGTATTTGAACAGGGATTTAGTTTAAAAATTCTATTTAGTTTTTTCAAAAAGGGATGTACAACTAGCCAAGATGAACGCCTTGAAGTGGTGGCAGAGAAGGAGGTGCTATGTTTTCAGCACAGTGACCTCTTTATGTAGGAGCTCTGCTTAGCAGAGGGGCACGGCTGCACAGTCCCTCTCTGTTTCTGTGTGTGTCAGTGTGTGCGTGAGTGCCCTCCTTACAGCCTGCAGTGTCTACACCCAACACACTCTGCCAACTCTCTCCAACTATATTTCAAACTTTTTTTTTTAGGTAGTGTCATCTGTGTTCTTGCTTATTCACGTCCATCCATCCATTTTCTTAAGTGATGGTCCTCTTCACACTCCCGATGACATCTATGGCCACTTTAGAATCACTAGTAAAGCTAACATGCATGTCGTCAGAGTGTGGGAGGAAGTACCTGGAGAGAACCCACCCAGACATGGGAGAGTGTGCAAACTCTACACAAAAGAGCACCAGCTACTGTAGCTGGTGCATTCAAACCCAGGACCATGTTGCTGTGCGGTGACGATGCTAACCACTGCAGCCTGAATATTATAGATGTAAATATGCTCACGCTTAACCTACATATGAATGAAAAGAAAATGGACAGTAGACAGTATGTGATCGTGTCACGTTCAAATTAGTAACATCATTAGTATTACAACCTTAAAAATGTCTCACTGTTACAGTTCAAGGTTTAAAAGATGTAAAGAAAGGTTATATTTCTATATGCAAACCAATTTAAAGGCAAACTTTTACCTAGATAAAGAAAACTATTCTCCACTAAGTCATATTAATTTTAATTCGAATACTTGAATGACTTGGACAAAACTATAATGTAATTACCATGAACAGTTCACCTTTCCGGCATGCAAATAATATTGATCTGCTGGCTGGTGGTGCAGTGGTTAGCGCTGTCGCCTCGCAGCAGCAGTAAGGTTCTGGTTGTGAAACAGCTGGTTGGCTCAAGCCTCTTTGAATTAAATTTGCATGTTTTCTAGGTGCTTCATGAATATCAGCTTAAATTGTTACCTGTCTCTCTGCGCTACCCCTGCGATGGATCTGGACCATGTTTATCTTTGTAACGTTGTATCTACATCTCATATGGAGGGCAATAAATACATGAATACAAATACATAAGGAATGATAAAGAATTGGAGACTGAGGCAAAGAATGACTCAGACCCTACCAACCTTCAGACGTCACTTTTATTCTGACTAATACTACACACCTGTAAATCTTTCTGATTGCATTTTGCTTTGCAGTTTGGAGGAGTTGGAAATTCTGTCCACAGACATACTTACAGTACTGTGCAAAATTCTCGAGTCACACTTAATTTTTTGTGTTTTATATAGAAAATGGGAACTAGGGCCAACTATTTATTGAAAGATGCAAACTGAACATACAACATATAAGGCAAAAAGAGAGCTTGTACACTTCTAACTAGCTTTACTCCCAACAGAGCCTTACAGTGTCTTCAGACCTTCTCCTCCTTGATGATCATTTAAATCAAATATTTAAATGTTACTGATGAGGCTTCAGTGAACAGTAGGATCAGCTGAAGGGCCATATGCATCTTGCAGGTCCTGTTTGAGGTCTTTGCTGGATTTTCCTATTTCTTAAGGACATGAATCTCAGATACTGATGATCTGCGGTAGATAGTTTTTCAGGGCAGATGCTTTTTCCCTTGTCCTCCACTTGTTTGATCGCCTCACATTTTTCTAAGAACACACTGTACACGATGTTGAGATATCCCATGTTTTCAGCTTATAGTTCTTTGGTACAGTACTGTAAACACATGTCAGAGTGCCCGTGACTCATGATACCCTGGTGACAGCTACTGTAACAGGAAGTACACCAGGAAGTTTTAAGTGCTTTAGCACACATGCAGATTGGGAATGTGAAAAGACCAACACTGCTATCACAGCTGGTAAATATACAGTAGATGAGACTATTTAGAAATACAAATTCATTAATGAAACACATTTCCTACAGTAAAAAAAAATTATATTTAAAGTTATCTGCAACAGAATAATGAGACATCAACATTAATTTGTCACAGACTTATCAACAACCCACGCAGATTCACACGAGAGAACAGGAAATCTTTTGCCAGCTCCTTGAAATGAGTTTATGAACAGCTCTTCTCTGCCATAGAGAGCATCTCATTGAGTATCACTGAGTATCAAGCTGTCACTCAACAGTCAGGTTCAGCTCAGCATTGAGATCAAGTTACAAACTGAGCTGTTTACACTTTTTAACTTTTTCAAGACACATTATCAGTTTAAGACGTGCGTGCGCTTTTTCGTTTGGGGGCGAATATCTCAAACGCACAGTTCTGGATGCGAATGATCTTTGCGTCTGCTTGCCTGTCTGAGTGCTGATTGGTTGATGAGTGGGCCGGTGTTGTGCCAAAAACTGATTGTCTGCCAAAAACTGATTTCCGGTATTTGCCAAAAACTGATTGCTCGTATTTAAACTGCTATAAGTAACTTGTTGGGCTATAATATGGTAAACATATGTCAAATGCATCCCTCATGGATGACATAAAGTCATCTTGAGCCACAAACAACATTCGTGTAACAAGGTAGAAGCCGCAATCAGTTTTTGGCAGTGACTTTTATATAACCTTTATTTATGCAGTTAAAAAAAATCTCATTAACATTAAAAATGTCTTTTGTAAGAGTAAGTTGGCCAAGAGGACAGCAGACATGGCAGCAAATATTACAATATTTCTGTAAAAATATTTTAAGTGGGGATAAAGGACCGGATTGGTTATAATGTAAGTACAATAGCAGAGAGTTGTAAAGATACTTGAAAAACAGATATTGTTTTAATTCTCTATATAACCCCTTTCACCGAAGTCTATTTACGAACATACGTAAAGATATTACACATAAAAAATACACAGAAACATTGGAAATCAGTTTTTGGCAGACAATCACTTTTTGGCACAACACCGGAAAGGAGCGACAGCGGAACGGGAGAAGCAAGAATCATAAAAAATAAAACACGAAAAAGCACAGACGGTGGACACTTTTAATTCCTTTCAGCACTCGCTCCCACTTCAGGGACTGACGGGCAGACCGACAACAGCACCAGGAAGAGTGATCCACAAACCGGTTATTCCGCGTATTTGATTCTGAAGCTGATAAGACAACAAACGCTCTCCGCACGCTCACGGGAAATCCGAAACTGCCAACGCACTACTCCCGCTCAAGCGCATAAACCCGGACTCAAAGGGACAGTGTTTGGAGACGTTGTGCCACATTTGGGGGCTTTTAGATTTTCAGAGAATTCACTACAACAGGACAGGGTAGCGCAGCACTGGCAGAACTTCCAAGTCAGTGTGAAGAAATGAAGTCTAAAGTGGAGCTTTGCTCTGCTGATATCTTGAGAAAAGGAGTAATATTACATATAGTGACGTGGAGCAGAGCTGACCTCCATCACCAGAAAACTTTGACGTATTTGTTTGGCGGTAGTTAAGCTGAGCAAACATCACACTCGTAAGGATGCGGACCTGTTGAAGGGCAAACCCACATGTGAAGGGAAGGTGTGCAAGTTAGAGTGAGTGAATGCCCCGATGTTTAATTAAAAACGTATGTGCTGGTTATGGTTCCCCCAAATGTTGCTGATAGTGAAACACGGTGTCTCTGAAGGCATCTTCACAGATTTAAAAAGGAAGCAGAAGGTGTTCACTGTTAAAGTTAGCCACAAAAGATGTCTCCGCAGACAATCGGATGTTTAACAGGCTTTTTTAAACAGCAAATTCTTATCTCGGTGAAACTTACCTGTGGGTCTGGAGCTCAGCTTAGGGTGTAGATGACAGGATGTGGGCGCCCGCACTCTTGATGGTCCTGTCCTCGCTTTCTCTTTACTAAAGATTGACCCTCATGGCGCTAAACTAACAGTCAGCATAGCTGTCTCAGCTGTAATTCAAGGCACGCTTTTGATTTTTACGCATATAGCAGACGCGGTGCCTCCTCCTCTGGAGGCTACACTCAATGAATGAACCCACGTGTAGCTGAGAAGGACTCAGTTTAGAAGTTTGGTGACACCTGCCGAAATATGACAAAGTAAACAAGATTACACCGAAGGGGGAACAGTTTCACACCAAAGGCCCCTCTTTTGTCCTCAACATATGTAACATATTTTTTAAATATACATAATAAAATGTAATAAATACCCCTAACAAAGGCTAATCACTAAAACGATATTCACATGCACAGCTTTACACCATATTTCGCTGGAATAGTTATTTAAAGCACTTCAATTCCCCTCTGATTCAAGAGCTATCTGTTAACATTTACTGGGCTGTAAAAAAAAAAAAGAATTCAGATATTATCAGTAATTTAAAAATTCATACATCAAAGGAACTTGCTTTAAAACAGATTTGCTACATAAGTACATTTATTCTTTAATTACTGTTATTTCTACAAATGGTAAATAAATGGTAAATGGTCTGTATTTATCTATAACTCTAATAATAACAACCTAGAGTGACTTTCCAATCACATTTGATATTTGTGAGTAAGCAAACGATTACGATTACATTAGTATTAAAAATTATTATTTTAAAAAACCACGAGGTTTCTGTTACAATAAAACACGGTAGCACAGATTTATCATATGTGCTACCGTGTTTTGTTAGGTTGCGGGGTGGGGGCGCTGTTGCGGGCCACCACCTTCAGTTCTCGATGACGAAGAAGAAAAATAACAGCACGTGCTTCCTGTTTCTCCAGAAGTGGCGTGAAACGCTGTGAAAATGGTTCGTAAATTAAAGTATCACGAACAGAAGTTGTTGAAGAAGGTCGACTTCATCAACTGGGAGGTGGACAACAACCTGCACGAGGTCAAGGTGTTGCGGAAGTATCACATCGAGAAAAGGGAGGACTACACCAAGTGAGTCTGTGGCTGCTAGCTAGCTTTTAGCATCGGTTATTTACACTGTATAGACGTATAAACACATTTTTATACCATATTTCAGCTGATATTTACAAATCACACAGACACCATAACATTTTTTCCTCCTGTGTCTCAGGTACAACAAGCTTAGTCGGAATGTCAGAGACCTGGCCAGAAAAATCAGAGACCTGGATGAGAAAGATGGCTTCAGAGCACAGAGCACACATCAATTACTGGAAAAACTGTAAGGTTTTGGATATTACAGTTATTTAATATGGATAAAATCCTCTTAATGTTAATTCAAGCTGACATCTTTTAACTCTGCGCTTGTTTCCTGTTTGGTTTTGAGCAGATTTTGATTGCTGTGTTGTTTATTGTTTTCTAAACCTTTGTTGATATTACACAGAGAATCTTTTTCTTCCTTCACCTCAGATACAGCATTGGTCTCATCCCCACCAGACAGAATTTGTCCCTCACAGAGAAAGTCACAGCTTCTTCATTCTGCAGGTACATTCATGTGTATATCTTAAACTCATAAAGTGTACTGTACTGTGGAAAAGTCTGGAGGTGCTCCTCATTTTTTATATTTTGCTTCTGAGGCGCCAGAATTTCATGTAATTTTTAAAGTGGTCTTGATCTTGATTGGCAATGGCTTCATTTGCCATTCAAGGCTTCTATCCATACCTGGATAGAAGAACACACTATGCAACAGTATCAGTCGTTGATTGGCCTCCCCAGAGTCTGGATCTCAGTGTGTGATCATCTTGATAGAGAACAGAACAAACGTCAGCGAACATCCAAGGTAGAGCTTTGAATGTTCTTCCAGAAGCAAGGAGAAATATTCCTGAACACAAAGAAATGACAAGCAAGCTATGTTGAAGCATGAAGGTGGTCAAATTTTGAGTTTCAAGTTTGTTAGAATTGTACAGACTGTTTATTATATACTGTATTTCAATGCATGTTTGGACATGTTTCATTAAGTCTCTGCATGTATTTCTCATCTTCCTAGCAAAATATAAAGAAATGAGAGGTGGCTTGAGGCTTTTATACAGTGCTGTGTATAAATGCAAGCTTCTATGTATACTTTGTCTGTGTGATTCCTGCAGGAGGCGGCTGCCCAGCATCATGTTGAATCTTCGTATGGCTCAGAACCTGAAGACGGCAATTACTTTCATCGAACAAGGGCGTATCCTTGACTGCTGTGTTACTGTAAATTGTTATGCTTAACACTTCAGATTTGTCTTCATTCAAGTATTAAAACAGATTCAGTGTTGTCCTTGACTCAGTCACAGATGTGCGTGTTGGCCCGGATATTGTTACAGACCCAGCGTTTCTAGTCACAAGGTTGGTCTCCGGGTATTTAGTCTTCTCACAATATCTTTACCAACACAGAGGGCCTTTGACACAGATGCTTCACTATACTGCACATGTGAAAGTGCTGACACTATTACTGTAACTTTTTTAAATGTAAGAAATATGGAAGATTTCGTCACATGGGTGGACTCCTCGAAGATCAAGCAGCACGTGATGAATTACAATGAAGAGGTGAGTGATTTGTCAGAGTTTGTATGTACATATTTCAGTTATGAATGATTATCTGTTACTTAAATCGACAGTTTTCAGGACTGAATCCTAATTCTGATGCCTTGAAGCTCATCACTGTTTCTTTTGCAGCGGGACGACTTTGATATGATGGCATAAATCTGTTCTCCCAAAGTCATTCATCACACTGAGCGATGGAAAGAAGATCTCTGCTTTTTTTTTTACTTTGCTGAGGAAAAACTACAGTCTGGGTTCCTTTTATTATGGAAACTGGGGGAAAAGTGAAAAGTGCTCCTGCGTCCCCAGAACCCAGGACTTACTCGAGTAGTCCGGAGAACAAAGAGGAATTTTACTGTTGTCACACTTTGACAGAAGCTCTTGTATTTGAACGGCAGCTGTAAAATGTGTGTCAGTGAGTGTCCAAGTATAACTGATTGTAAAAGTTGAGGTGAGTCTGTATTGTTGTCACTAAAGCTGCAGAAACGCCACTACCACAAGATTTTGTAAACTTTTTAAAAAGATGGGCATACCCTAAACCTACATTTATTCTAATGACCAGCAGGGGGTGACTTCGGTGTTTGCCAGTTTTATAGAAGTTTATAGGAAAATGCCTCTTAGCGCCCTCTTTTTGTAACCTCAATAAATGATTCCCTGATGCGTTCATGGACTCAATCACCAGTTCTCAGCCTTAGTTAATACAGCTTGTTTATTTTGTAAGTCATGGTCCTTGTTGGTGTCCAACATCCCTCAGTTTTATTGTGTGAAGGGCAAATGGCAATGACAAAAAAAAGTGTAGCTCGAATTTTAAAAAATAAAAAAGCTTTTCGAACTAGCAGATCATGTCACAGTGGCTACACCCAGCTTATATATACAGTACAAATCTTTATTAATACAGCAGTAAGCCTTTGTCGTCTTTGTTCATTTGGGGATCATAAAGAGCAGCTTAGCCTCTGGTCTGACTCGCTTTTTTGTTTTTCTTATTTGTTCTGTGTTTGTGTAAACACGAGCTCCTTGGTTTGTCTATACAGGGATTAACAAATTTATTAGACCCTTTGTACTAAAACAAATTACAGATATTTTAGAAATTTGACAAAAACCTTTTTAGTACGACAAACAAAACATTTTTATTTATTAGGCAAATGCACTCAAACATTCAAAACAGAATTTTTTGTTCAGGAATGCAAGTAATTAACTGTAATTTGACATCTTTATCTCAAAATAAAGTGCTCGTCTATTTTTTTCTGATTTTTATTTGTAAAATTGAACTGGAAAATGTGTTTAGTTATATTTATGCACTTATGCATACTGGTGGATAAAAAGTTACAACAAACATATCAAAGATGATTTTGGGAATCACCAGTACTCATCCTGATATTCTGTGGGGGGTTTCGTATCAAACAAATGTAAATATCAGACAAAGATAACACAAGTAAGCACAAAGTGCAGTTCCTAAATGTTTAGTGTGAAGTGGAAAAAAATCCAAACCTACATGGCCCTGTGTGAAAAGTGATTGCCCCCTAAACCTAATAACTGGTTGGCTCAGCCATAGAAGCAACAACTGCAATGAGTCTTTCACGTCACTGTGGGGGAATTTTGGCCCACTTATCCTTGCAGAATTGTTCTAACTCAGACACACTGGAGGGTTTTCCACCATGAACTGCCTTTTTAAGGTCATCCACTCATGCTCTTAAAATCGGATTCAGGTCAGGACTCTGACTGGGCCACTCCAAAGTCTTCATTTTGTTTTTCAGAGGCGGACTTACTGGTGTGTTTTGGATCATTGTCCTCTTGTAGAACTCAAGTGTGCTTCAGCTTGAGGTCACGGACACATGGCTGGATATTCTCCTTCAGGATGTTTTGGTAGACAGAAGTCATGGTTCCATTTATCACAGCAAGTCTTCCAGTCCTGAGGCAGCAAAAAATCTGCAGACCATCACACTACTACTGCCATATTTTAATGTTGGCATGATGCTTCTTTTCGTTTGGTTTCCTGTTCTTCGTTTTCGTCTTGCAACTGTGCCATGGATGCCATTTTTGCTCAGTCTCTTTCTTATGCTTGAGTTATGAACTCAGACAAGTGAGGCCTGCAGTTCTTTGGATGTCGTTCTGTCTCTTGTGGTCTTTTGTAATCTCTTGTATGAGTTGTCGCTGTGCTCTTAGGGTAATCTCCCCACCTTCATTTAGAAACTGCATGTTGTGTTTGCTTGTGTTATCTTTGTCTAACACTTAAATTTGTTTGACAATCTGAAACATTTCAGTATGACAAACATACAAAAAAGAAAACCAGGAATGGGATAAAAGACTTTTCCACACCACTGTATAAACAGTGTGTAAAATAAGTGTTGAACATGTCACCAATTTTCTAAATACATTTCTAAAGGTGCTACTGACATGAAATTCCCACCATATGTCAGTAAAAACCTGTCCAATCCACACAAGAACATCAAACCACAGATGGTCATAAATTATGTGTAGTAATGGGAAGTGATAGAGGGGGGAAAAGCATTGTACATACTGAAAATAATTGAATGCTTTGTACAAAAGCCTTCGTTGGTGATTACAGCTTCAAGATGCTTCCTGTGTGGGGAAACTGTGAACAACACATGGTGAGAATTTCATAGCAATAGATCCGCTAGAAATATATTTACTTAGAAAATTAGTGAGGTGTTCAATACTTATTTTACCCTCTGTGTGTATATAGAAAGGGCCTGCAACCTTCATGATGTTCACATAAACTGTCATATATAAAACTCAAACAGATTGATTTCTTGGTAAATATTCAACATTTTTAATAACACTTTCTCACACTTGTTTAAACTTTAATTACAAACATCACAGTTTTAAGACTCTAACATCTGGACATGCTTACATGGACTCTCCATCAGTGCTGAAATGCTGACAGAAGCTCCACCAACCTGTTTATGAGGGAAAGCCAATGTGAAGCAAGTTGGCTAAAAAGGAAACTATTCTGTAACTTTATATGTTTATCACTGGTCCGGCTCACTTCACATCAAAGTGGGCTGTATATGGCACACAATGTAAAATTAGTTTAGGTGCCGGTCGAGGAGACGTCCTTGTCCCAGCGTCTATCAGAGCCACCAGAAACGCATGTAGATGATGAGTGTGATGAACACAGCCACAGCTACAGCCTTAGCATAGCCGGGGGAGGTGTTGACATCTTTGGCATTGCTGCGGCAACTTTTTGAAAAGCTGCTCAGGTTGCTGACTTTTTTGGCAATATCTGAGGGGATAAAATCGTACATGTACATTGTAATTTGTAAATTGGAATAATAACAAATTGTCTACATAATTCTGAATAGAATCAGCACCTCCCATTTGATGGGATGTGTTACCAACGCCTGCTACACTTACCACAGAGAGGGTCTCTCTGCATGACTTCAGCAATATTTTCCGCCATTATTTTCTGAATATCTTCCAGCTCTTTTTTAGTACTTGCCAAGGTCTTCCGGAGTTTGATCGACACAGATGGCTTATTCACTTTTTGGATATATGTGTCTGGAACAAGATGTAAGATGCTATAAAAATGTTCATTTTATTTGTTTACAGGGATTAGTGCCATGTCTCTGTGTGATAAAAGATGTTGGACTTCAGTCTTACCAAACTCTATGAAAGAGTAGGGCCTGGATACTGTGGGTACTTTTTTTCCATACTGGACATAAAACTCTTTGCTGAGGTCTTCGAGGTATTCAAAAGCCATCGTTTTGGGAAAAGAAGCCTCGCAGAGGATAATGTAACACACACCCTGGGATATTAAAAAACTGAAACGAGGCCTAACCATTAGTTATATTTGACTCAAGTTAAACCTCACCAAAATTATCAACAAAATGTGTGATCTTACTGAAAGTTCTTGTCCCCGGTATCAAGGGTACAACGTTCTGGACTCTGAGCGTCCAGTTTACGGCACAGCTGCTTGGCCTGGCTCTGGTACTGCTGGAGATCTCTTTCTGACTGACAAAGACAGATAAAAACAGACTTGAGCTCATTCTTATCTCACTTAAATTTAAAATGATTAGTCATTTATGCATTCATCACCAAGTACCCACACAGTGTAAACAGTATAAAATTCAAGAAGCAATGCCTACAAACTCAGAAACTTTATTATACACCTTGCTAGTACCATGTTGGATCCTTTTACCTTTCAAACTGTTTTAATTCGTTATGGTGCAACGTCAAAAGGTGCCGGAAACTGTCCTCAGAGATTTTGGTCCAAGTTGACATGACAGCAACTCAGTTGGTTGCTCAACCATTATGTGACTCTTCTGTTGCATCACATCCCAAAGCTGCTCTATTGGATTAATATCTGATGTCATGTTCAAGAAACCAGTTTGATATGAAATGAGCTGGGGGACATGGTGTGTTATCCTGCTGGAAGCAGCCATCAGTAAATGTGCCAATAAAAGGGTGGATGCAGTTAGCAACAATGCTCAGGTGGTGTTTAAACGAATCAGAATCAATCAAGCTTTATTTGTCACAAGCAGGTTGCCGTGCAGTGAAAATGGGACCCCCCTCCCCTCCCCGACCTTACACACATAACACAGACATCACATGGGGTGACAAGTCGGAGATCGGTAGCGTTACAGAAAAGAACACTGAAATGTACACAACAACGGGAGGGTACAAGAGGAAAAAAAGAGACCTCCACTCATGCTGTGCTTCCATGGTAGGACAGCACGAGAACAGGAAACAAAAAAACTCCTCTGCACAAAAAAAAGCACATGAATGGCCACAGCACAACATTATGACAGACATGACAAGCCACAGGGTTGGGTAGGGGATAGGCGATGCTCAGCTGTGCCAATATTCTCAACATTACACCACCACCAGTAGAATAAACCACTGACACGAAGCAGGATAGATCTATGCCTGCATGTTTTTTATGCTAAATTCTGAGCCTACCATCTGAATGTTGCTGCAGAAACAAAGATTTATGAGACCAGACAACATTTTTCATCTTCTGTTGCATGACTTTGGGAAAGTTTTGTGTAAATTGTAGCCTCAGTTTCCTGTTCTTAGCTGGCAGAAGCAGCACCCAATGCGGTCTTCTGCTCCTGTAGCCTGTCTGCTTCAAGATATGATGTTTTGTGCATTCAGAGATGCTTTATTTCATACTATGAATTTGAAAAACTGTCATTTTGAGTTTCTGTCGCCTTCCCTGTCAGCTTGAGCCAGTCTGATCATTATACTGCTCACTGGCTATTTTCTCTTTCTCTGGTCATTCTTTATGATCCTCTCCCGTGTGGGGAAGTCCCAACAAATAATCAGTTCCTACAATATTCAGAGCAGCCTGTCTGACAACAACAATCATTCAACATTCAAAGTCCCTTAAATCACCTTCCTTCCTCATTCTGATGCTCGGTTGTCATCTTAACCATGTCTAAATGCATAGAGTGCATTGAGTTGCTGTCATGTGTTTGGGTGATTAGATATTTACATTAATGAGCAGTTGAACACATGTACATAATACACTATCTGATGAGAGCATGTATAAATTATTCTCATCAGAGAGTCGTTCACATGTGGAACCTGCAAAATGTCTCTGTGTGGAGGAAAACAGATACATTTCTTTTTCATGCTTTTCCTTTTAAAGCTTTTTGTGTGAAATTACAAAATATTTACAAAAATATTTGCTCTCATTCACTGGAAAATCACAGTCTGGTAGTCTCTCTATCTGGATTATTTGCATAATTAAACCTGATAATGGGGTACTTTATAAAGAGGTAACGGTGTGATCTGAACCAGCCTTGTTAATATTGCATCTGATTATTTCTTGTAATAAAATGATCCCCACAGTTACAGGCAGAGATAGACTAAGTTTCGCATCATGTTATTAGCACATATTCCATCACATTAGTACTTTTGCAGGATTTTCTGGGACCAGAAAATCTTATATTCAGCTCAACTTTCAGTCGCTTCTCATTTGTAAAACATCTTACACCTAGTGCTGCTCAATAAATTACAACTTGAGCTGAAGCTGCAATAAACTCATGGATCATCCCCTAGAGCACCAAGTGTAAGAAACAAATCCTTTTCTAAGAGGAGTTTGGTGTGCAGGTATCTTCATACTGGGGTCCTCAGCCTTCATTCATACCTGTTCATCCTCCTGTACAGACGCAGCGAGCGGAAGTCCGTCTGCCACACGAGTGATGATTGTCAGCAAAATCATGGTGTTTTAAGTTGAGGATCTGCCGTCGGCTAGGGGAGTTTATTATCCTGCCGGGAGAGCGTATTGACTGTCCGATGGAAATCGAGGGATGGCTCGTCTGCCTGCAGTGAGCTCTGCTGTCAGTCAGAGGCAGTGTGCAAAGTATGTGATACAACTGGTTTATCACCTGTACCGATGGTGGTCCATCAGCCAGCAGCGGAGAAGAGAAAAAAGTTACACTGTGCACCAGTTATTATTGTTAGTTTTAATTCTATCTATCTATAGTTTCCTCACATTTCTTAAGAACACACAGTACACCATGCTGAGGCCAAGTTTCTAACTAATTGTTCTTTAGGAATCACCTTGTTGGTGCAAAAATACTATTTTATGTTTGTCAGTCTTGACAATCTTTGATATTTTTCACTGATTCATTTATTCATTATGTTTTTTGCAACAGGAAGCTGTAACAAAGTGCCTAAAGATATAATTTAAAGTTGGTTCCTTGGAAGCAAAATAAATACAAATGAGGAATGTCTCGAGAGTTTTGCACAGTACTGTAAACACATACCAAAGTACTCATAACTAATGACATCCTGCTACTGCAACAGGAAGTATGTCAGGAAATTTTAAGTACGTTGGCACACATACAGACTCAGAAGGTGACAGACCAATGTTGCTATCACAGCAGGTAAATAAACAGTAGATGAGACTATTTATAAATTCAAATGAATTAATGAGGCATATTAATCAAAAACATTTTCTGCAATAAAATGTTTAAACGTCTCTACAACCGATTAACGAGGCCTTAATATTATGTTGGCACAAACTTACAACTTAGTCTAATTAAAGAACAGGAAACCAGAGGGTGATGCCACAGTGGCTGGCTGTATATCTTTTATATACAGTTTCAAAATGAACAGAGTCTTTGTTGTCTTTCTTCATTTACAGTCAGAGCTCAGTGATTTTCATAAAAGTAATCATAAAAAGCAGCTCAGCCTCGCTGGTCCGACTCGCTTTTTCTGTTTTTCTTGTTCGCTCTGAGTTTGTGTAAACACGAGCTGCTTGGTTTGTCTAAAGAGGGATTAACAAATTTATTAGATGACCTGACCTAAAAATAAGAAAGTACAGTTTATGAATCCGTCAAAAACTTGTTTAAAATTAAAAAGAGGAGAGAAAAATCAATCAAGCACAACAATTAATCACAAAAGCACAGCCGGGTTTTATCAGACTACCTCCAGAATTGGGAGTGAAGAAGATGGAACAACCTGCCCGAACTGATCGTAGTATCACCACGGGCGTGTTGTTCGTACCAGAGTGACCAACACAACCACACTGGCTGACACAGTTGGATTGATATCTGGGTAATTTGGAGGCCAAATCAACACCTCGCTGTTGTGCTCCTCAAATTCCTGCTTTGTGGCAGGGCGCATCATCCTGCTGAAAGAGGCCATAGCCATCAAGGAATGCTGTTTCCATGAAGGGTGCACATGGTCTTCTACTTAAGAAGGTAGTACGTGTCAAAGTGACATCCACATGGATGACAGGTTTCCCAGCAGAGCACTGCCCAAAGCATCACACTGCCTCCACCAGCTTGCCTTCCTCCCATTGTGCATCATGCTGCCAGGTGTTCCCTGGTAAGTGATGCTCCTTGTATTCTGACACGGTTCTATCAGGTAATTTGAGCTACAGTAGCTTATCTGTTGGATCAGTAACCCTGTCGCTGGTTCACCACTGGTCCTTCCTTGGATCTCTTTTGATAGATACTGACCACTGCAGACCGAGAACACCTCACACCTGCTCATTTTTCCAGCTTTGAGGACAAAATGTTCACTAGCTCCCTAATATATCCCCACCCACTAACAGCTGCCACGATGAAGAGATAATCAGTGTTATTCACTTCACGTCAGCGCTGAAGCCTTGAAGATTTTCACATAAATTGTGTCATATAAAGAAAAGTCAAGCAGATTGATTTCTTGATAAATATTTAACATTTTTAATAACACTTTCTCACGCTTGTGTAAACTTTGTAAACAAACATTCACATTTGATCACAGTTTTAAGACTCTAACCCCTGCATGTGCTTACATGGATTCTCATCAGTGCTAACACGTTAACAGAATCTCCAACATCAGTGTATAGAAACATGAACTCTTTCTGCTCTTAAAGGCGACCTATCATGCTTGTTTTCTCTTGTATATATAACAGTGCAGATCTCCAATCTGGTCACCTCGGGCACACAGCTCTGCCTGTGAGCACAGACCCACCTGCTTATGAGCAGCAGCCAATGAGAAAAAAGTCAGCTAAAAGAGGTGAAGCTTGCATGAAATTTAATTGAGGCCCAGTGTAAGATCAAGAAGCTTCATTTGAACTTTGACTCACGCAAAACTGCTCTGAAGCTATAAATATGAAACCATAAATGAGCCTGATGGGTCCCCTTTAATGTTTCCAGTATGCACATTTACTATATATAAAAGCCTTTCTATCACACAAAAGCCCATTAAACATCCCAATAAAGACTTACAGCTCAGCTTCTATTGTATAACCCACGACTGAGTAAATCACAGAAAGAACGTCTACATTCAACACAGGTCCGTAAGACTGAAACAGTCTTTAAGACTGTTTCAAGGCACCCTGGTATATAACAGACTGTAACATGAGTTTAAGTGCTCTTCGAGGAGAAACTCCAGCTTCGTGTCGAAATCCTTGTCTGGACGTACATCAGAGCCACCAGAAACGCACGTAGATGATGAGCGTGACAAAGAACACTGCCACAGCTGCAAACTTAGCATAGGTGGAGCGAGTGTTGAGATATTTGGCATCCTTGTGGTACTTTTCTGCCATGTTGGAGAGATTGCTGGCTTTTGTGCAGATAGCTGAGAAACAAATAGGATGAAGGAAACATTAATTTTGTTCTGATTGGTAATTTTGATCAGAATCTCCCATTTGATGGCATGTGTTACCAACACTGGCTACAAACACTGGCTACACTTACCACAGAGAGAGTGTCTGCAGGACTTCATCAATATTTGCCACCATTATTTTCTGAATATCATCCAGTTCTTTTTTAGTACTTACCAGAAAGAGCTTCTCCTCTCTGCAGGACCTCCTCAATATTTCCAACCATAATTCTCTGGATGTCCTGCAGCTCTGTGTTAACACTGCTCAAGGTCCTCCGAGCTCTGCTGTCCACATATGACTTCTTAACTTTCTGGATGTAGGTGTCTGGAACAACATGTAGGATACTATAAAAATTTTCTTTCTTTTTGTAGAAAGTGAGTAGTGTCACGTATTTGTTTGCGATGCATCCAGAAAGTATTCACAGCACTTCCCTTATTCTAAATTTTGTCACATTACAGCCTTATTCCAAAATAGATTAAATTCATTTTCACCTCAAAATGACATAATGGCAAAGTGAAAAAAGATTGAAAGTCCTGAAAATTTGTAACAAATAAAAAAAATCTAAAAATAACACATAAATATTTGCAGGCTTTGCAATGACTCCCAATTTTGAGCTCAGGCGCATCCTGTTTCCACTGACCATCTGTTAGATGTTTGTACACCTTGATTGGAGTTCACCTGTGGTAAAGTCAGGTCATTGGATATGATTTGGAAGAACAGAAAAACAGATAGACAAAGCTCCAGCATTGCTCTGTGGGGAGGGGGGAATCTTCCAGAAGGACAACCATTTCTGCAGCACTCCAGAAATCAGGACAGATTGGTAGAGTGACCAGAGGGAAGCCACTCAGTAAAAGGCACATGACAGCCCACCTGGAGTTTGCCAAAATGCACCTGAAGGACTTTCAAACCTTGAGAAACATAATTGTCTGGTTTGGTGAAACAAACATTGAACTCTTTGGCCTGAATGCCAAGCATCATGTCTAAGCATCACCTGGCCAATACCATCGCTACAGATTGTCGCTGCTTTAAATTTCTGTTGCAGACTTTTTTCACTTTGCCATTGTGGGGTATTGTGTAAAGAATTCTGGGGTGAAAAATAAAGTTAATCTATTTTGGAATAAGGCTGTAACATGAAAAAATGTGGAACAAGTAAAGAGCTGTGAATACTTTTCAAATGTACTGTATTAAAGGATTTTTAACACCAGTCTCACCAAACTCTATGAAAGAGTAGGGCCTGGTTACTGTGGGTATTCTCCTTCCATACTGGTCATAAAACTCATTGCTGAGGTCTTCGAGGTATGCAAAAGCCATCTTTCTGGGAAAAGAAGCCTCGCAGAGGGACAGGTAGCACACACCCTGGGATATTAAAAGGCTGAAAATGAGGCCAAACCATTAATGATTTTATGACCTTTGTGATTCAAGTTAAAGCTCACCAAAATTATCTACAAAATGTTCTATGCTGAGTGATCTTACTGAAAGTTCATGTCCCCAGCCTCGAGGGTGCAGCGTTCTGGACTCTGAGCGTCCAGTTTACGGCACAGCTGCTTGGCCTGGCTCTGGTACTGCTGGAGATCTCTTTCTGACTGACAAAGACAGATAAAAACAGACTTAAGCTCATTCTTATTCATATTTAATTACTTTAGTCGTTTGGTCATTGCATATTACCCACACAGTGTAAACAATATGTTCAAAAGGTCATTCATTGATCTGTAGTTTCATTACAGAATCACATCCACAGGAAAGCCTGTAGCTGGATACAGAGAATCAAACCTAACAACCACTGGTGATGCGGCCTGCTCTCTGCAGTAATCAGGGGACTCAATTCAGGTTCACAGTTCAGGGATATTCAATTACTGTTTGGACCTTGTCCCTTTCCTCCCTATTACTTATGTGGATCCATGAGAATGTAGGAATTTAGTTATTGTCCTGTTCTGTCGCTGTAGTCAATGTTCACACGTGCTCACGTCCAAACATTCAACAACTTGCTGAATGTTTGTTCACAGTATTGCAGCTTCACCAATGTTCATAAGTTGTGAATTGCCATAGAGTGGAGATTTCGTTTTCTCCTTAAGTAAAGCACGCTAAAGACAGAAAGAGTTTGCATTTGTGCACTTTATACTGCGTAATCCATGCCATCTTATATTGTTGCTTTGGTTTGCTGTTTTTGGCTGACAGGAGTGGTACCCAGTGCGGTCTTCTGC